CGCGAACGACGATCAACGAGGCAACGTTAAGAAGCTGCTGTTCTCGATCGAACCAAAGAATCGCGAATCTATGCTTCTTTCAGAGACACTCGCCGGGTTTATTGAAAAACCGTGCGAAACCATAAACGGAACTAACGCAGAGGCGATCCGCTCGTATTTGTTCCTGGTGAGTCAGAGAGCCGAGACGAGACGAGACACGGAACAGGATCTTAGGAAGATCGTCGGTCACGTCGTAAAATCTCGTTGCGAGCGTTGATTCACCAGCTTCCATCGAATATTTATAGCGTGGTAGTAGAATTAACGATCGCTGGTTCCACGTATCTAGTCGTCTTGGATAAATCGCGCGAGAAAAAGGAGAAAAAAGCGCGACCGGTGTTCCAATTCGCGCGATTATCAGCGCGGAGGGAGCGAGCTGCAGTCGCGGAAACTTTTCGTTCTCGCGAGAGCGAGAAGTTCCCTGCACCGGAGGACCTTGACGCTCGCGCGAGGAACCGATCCGAAGGCGCGAACATCGGTTTGCGCTCTGTGCGAAACGATCCTTCTTGATTTTTCCATCGGATCGCGATCTCGAGAGCAACTAGCGCGAAGAAGCGGCAGCGAGTCGCTTCGATTAATCAGCGGCGCGGACGAAAAATGTGGAAAGTTTTACGGCGAAGCAGCACCCAGGCGACGGTCATTTTTTCTCTCGGTTTTCGTTCCTCGCGCCGCGATCACGGAGCCTGCAACATTGTGTCCGTCAGCCAACACGTAACGAACCGGAGGATACAAAGGGTCGCGTAAGAAGCTAAAAATCGTAAAAAGCCTGTGACGAAAGTAACGAATCGTGGCGCGCGAAAGGGTTGCAGCGTGGCGATACGTGAGGGACTCGATCGAGGATGATGGTCGTGTGAAAAACAGTGATGGTTAGGAGGAGAAATCTTTGGTTCAACGCTGGTCACGCGTAAGTGGAAACTCGATTATGTTTGGATAACGAAGATGAGGATTGAATAACCAAGAATTTTCAGCAGTCGCCGACAAACTTTATAGATCAAGATCGTGGATAAAGCTTCGAAATATGCAGTTTCAACGTCGTTTCGATTATAGCATTCTATATATTTGTACGTATATCAAAAGATGACGAATTTTCAGTGACAATGAAGAATAGTCGCGATCGCTGGATGCGATAGTGAACGCGACTGTCCTTGCTTATTACGAAATAAAATAGCGATAATTATAATTTTAATGGATAATTTCGAGATCGTTTCTATTTTAGTTGACAGATACGTTAAACTAGAACGAACGAATTTCCACTAGCAGCGAATGACAATGACGATCACCGGTGCGATAGCGAGCGTCGCTGTTATTGTTCCTGTTTACGAAGAAATAAGATCGTAAGAATTACCTTGCCGGGTATTTGGAGATGCGTTTCTCTTTCGTGACTTCTGGAAGCGATGAACGATCCCCTTTGTAGCCAAAGATCGGAGTACCGAGTACACGCAGAAAGTGGGGAGGGCGTTTAAAGGGGGGCCCTTTGATACTTATACGAACGGGTGTATAACGAACGTGTTGTATACTTTACGAGGCACTTTGCATTTCATCCCGATGAAAAATTCATTAGACGTAAGACGAACGGTTGGCTACGCTCGAGCGGCGTAGAAAAGCTTTTCGGGTCAAAAATAACTCTCGCTCCGGCGTCCCGTTAATTAGCGTTATCCTCTTTGCTACCGTTACACGTCGTGCAAACGTTCGATCGGTGATTACGCATTTTTTTTTTTCTTTCTTTTAAATCAGCCTTTAAGATCCAATTTGCTCACCGAGGCGAAAGTAGAGGAAATCAGAACGAAATTTCGAAACGTGCAAACGCGATATTCACCGGCGAACGTGTTCGCAAACGATGTTCGTACGACGATGTAACTCTACGATCTTCCGTTCGAGCGAGAACAGCGGCGGTTGGAACAAGTTCGTCGACGACTTTCGAAACGTACAAAAATATTTTATATATCGATATATCGATGTGTTTCGATAAGGTGATTGGTAAGAAGCGTGGAAACTTGAACTATGTTCGCGAACACGTTCGGCTATGTTGAAGTAACTACTTGAAGAAAAACTCTACACCTTTTCCTTTGTATATCTGGAGATCGCTGATACGATAGATTTAGCGAGACAAACAAATTCGAAATAAGGAGAGGTCCATATTATCGTAGCCTTGAATATAAATTTTCTTTTGGATTACAAGATCTAGAAACAAAAAAGTTATAAGACAATTTCTATCGCTGTTTCTTGTAGCCTTCAGCTAAAACTACAAGGTTGACTTTTTGGTAATGTCCTTTGCTGTAAATAAATGCC